TCGTCACAGTCATTCTCCGTCCAGCTTTGTTCCCTTGCTGGTGAGGAGTCTTGGTCCTTTCTAGGAGGCGATGTGTTCTGGTTTCGGGTGTTTTCCTCCTTTTTGCGCTGGTTTCTTCCCATCTTTGTGGATTTGTCCGCTGGTCGTCTGCGTAGTTGCTGACTTTTCGTTTGGGTCTCTGAGTGGACACCCAGAATGTTGATGATGAAGTATTTCTGTTCCTTGGTTTTCCTTCTACCAGTCTAGCCCCTTCGCTGTACGACTGTTGAGGTCCGCTCCAGACCCTGCTTGTCTGGGGTGCACCTCTAGTAGCCGTGGCACAGCGAGGGATGCTACCAGTTTCTTTTTCTTCTCTCTTTGTCCCAGGATGATGCCTGCCTAATGACAGTCTTTTGGATATAGAGGGGTCAGGGAGCTGCTTGAGGAGACAGTTTGTACTTTATAGGGGTTTAATTGCTGAGCTGTGCACTCTGTTGTTCATTCAGGGCTGTTAGGCTGCTATGTTTGATTCTGCTGCAACACAGCTCATTAAACAACCCTTTTTTTTTTCTCAAATGCTCTGTGTTGAGGGGTTTGGGCTTTATTTTTGGATGTCCGATCAGGTGTCCTGCCCAGCTCAAAGGCAGACTAGCCACTGTTTGGCTGCCGAGGCTCCGCCCTGCTGTTGTGTGATTCGCGCTGTTCCTGCCGGCTCTGCTGTGGTCTCCGCCACGCCCTGCGGCGGAGTCTCTTCGTTGTAGCGTGTTGCCTCAGCAACGGCAGGCTGCGTCAGCAGTGGGCGTGTATCTCAGTAGGGACGGGTTGCCTCGGCAACGGCTGGCTGGGTCAGCAGTGGGCGTGTATCTCAGTTGGGGCGGGTTGCCTCGGCAACGGCTGGCTGCCTCAGCAGTGGGCATGTATCTCAGTTGGGGCGGGTTGCCTCCGTAGTGGTGGACGCCCCTCCCCCACAGAGCGTCTCGGACCGTCTGCCCGGGATAGTTTGAAATCGCGGTTTTGTTCGTCCCACTGGGTATCCCAAATGATCTGTCCCTGCAATCCCCTGTGCTGGGCTACTGTGCAAGTCTCGTTCAGTCTCAAGTCCAGCCCTCTCAAGTCTCAGGTTGCCGGTTCAACAAGGCACCCGGACAAGCGCGCCCTGTGGGGATTGCTGGGTAGGGCCGGCCGCCGCCGCCCTGGCTGCCGGCTTCGCCAGGCAGACCTACTGCCTGGCGTCCCGTGTCTTTTTATACTTGGGAGTTTCCCCGTTCTGTGGGCAACAAAGATCAGTCTGGAAATGCAGCACTGACTCACCGTTTGCGAATTCAACGCGGGCTCCAATCCTGGGTTGTTCTCACAGCGCCATCTTGAGTCCTCTCCTCATACATATTCTTACATATGTTAACAGTGTTTTACATGCTTATAACCTTAGACATAATTGAAAAGTATCAAAATTATAGGACTTATATATTTCTGTGGGCTTGAAAATAATATAGATTATTTGTTTCTTTAGTAAAATGTATAAGCTTCTAAATGAAGTAATCACTAACAAGAGAGTTCATACTGAAGGTAGTAATACTAGGAATAAAAGAGGGCTCAATACTGCCTTCAGGAGAGGAAGGGTTCAGATTGGTATGTTTTCTAGGGGCTTCCTCCTGTCTCTCATAAAACATGGCTGGACTTTCCTCCTTGCCTTGTGTAAGCTCCCTGACTTTATCATTATTTACTGCCTTACTTAATTCCCTTTTTCATTCCTCCAAGGAGAGCCTTAAGAAATTTGGCCTGTTTGTTCGTTCCCATGGGGGTGTTATAGTCCCAGTTAGGATCATTAGTGGGGATTATATCTAGGCCTGGGCGATTACCCTAAGGGTTTTGGGCAAATAAATCATCTGTTTCCTGGCTGGTGGCCTCTAAGATTCATTCCTTTTCCAAGGGGAAGTGCAACAAGTTGCTAGAATGAATTGAATGTCTCTCCATGAGAGATGAAAGGCTATAGTCAAAGTTTGGAACCTATCTGCAAATTTTCTGGGTTTCTGTAAATAGCTTGCTTGCTTTCTTTACATTGTTGTATGTCATTTATGGAGAAGGGGACCTACACTTAGACTGGCCCCTCAGCTCCTACTTCCCTAGGGGATAGCCAGTCTGTAGAGGCAGTTGAATACAGTGTTTCCCTTCAAGTGTGAGGGGGACTTAGGAGGGCCCTTGGTTTTTTCTCTTGGTGAGCCCAGAAACACTTGGGAAGGCATTGGTGGCGGTTGCCATTCCCTCTAAGAGACAGGTGGCTCTTGCAAAAAGGAGGTCATCCACAATATCCAGTTCTGCCTTAGAACCTTTTTTGAGGGGGCAAGTTCTAGGAATTTTGCAGATGGTTGGGTTTTGATATAGGGCCATGCAGGTCTGCACCTATGGGATTTCTGACCATTTACACTGCCTTTTGCAAAATAGGTGTTGTAATTAAGACTTAACATTGACTTCCCATTGTTCCCAGCTGTCCAGCTAATTTTAGGGCCATACAGTATTACAGTAAAAAGTCAGATGTTTTCTTTTTAGATTGTCAGGTTCAAATTGATTTTAATGGTTGAAAATGCAGCCAAGTGGCAAATCAGGTAGAATGGTTAGAGAGTGGCCCATAGTGGTGTGGAAGAAATAAGAGAACCTTGCTTATTTGGTGACCCAAATTTTACCTGGGGCATCCCCCTGGTAAAACTGGGTTTTGGCTGGGGACCTCAGGGGTGTCCCCCTTTAGAGCCCTGTCTTATTCTGTCAGATGACTCTGACCTTAGATGGATGCTAGTACCAATTTGGGAAGGTTCTCTCCACCACTGATGACCTACTGTGAGCTTTCCTTTTGTCCCTGTATGAAGGCCTTGACTTCTAGCATCCTTATAATTTGATAAGGCCATGGTTTCCCATACTTCCTGTTCCACTGGAGTGATAGCTATGAACTTTAATAATAGGAACTTGAGGTTGGATGGATTTCTTTTTCTTTTTTTTTTTTTTTTTTGACAGTCTTCCTCTGTCATCCAGGCTGGAATGCAGTGGTGCAATTTCAGATCACTGCAACCTCTGCCTCCCAGGTTTAAGCACTTCTCTGCCTCAGCCTCCCAAGTAGCTGGGATTACAGGCATGCGCCACCATGCCCAGCTAATTTTTTGTATTTTTTTTTTTTCGTAGAGACAGGGTTTCAACCATCTTGGCCAGGCTGGTCTTGAACTCCTGACCTTGTGATCCACCTGCCTCAGGGATGGATTTCTTTTGTCATGTGAATTATAGGGAATCTCAGTGGGGAAAGGTGGATTTTGAGCATGAAAAATGAAATGGTAGGGTTGGCTATTCCAGTCAGGCCCTGGACAAGAGAGGGAATGTTTAAATCTACCACTTTGACAGTGGATTCCATGTAAGGCCAAGTCATTCTATAGAAATAATATGATGATGACGAAAGACACAAGATACAGAATGTATTCTAAAGATTGTGGGCCCCAAAATTCTTCAGCAAGTTGAATAGATCAAGTAGGGGAAGGGAAGTCAAAACACCTAAGAGACATCTTTTGCCATTGCAAGCTAACTCTGTAGGAGAATTTGGCATAAGTAAAAGGGTTTAAGTTGACTGAAACATATGTGACTTTGTTCTGGAAGAGCTGCCACTGCCACTTGCATCACATTTAGGGATTAGCGACTGTAACCAGGAAAAATAGAAAAGAGTCCTTCCCCATTCTGGGCAGGGCAGCTATCCCCATTCCCTCCTTGGCCTTCAGGTAACACCAGAGAGTGGCCCTGATTAGTTGCCCTCAATTACCAAGGATTCACTAGGAAACAGCCTCTGAAAGACTGAAAAAAAGAAAAGGACTCAGGTCCCTCACCCAAACCAGCTGGTGGTGTTTAGGTGCTTCCACATGGATACCTTTCAGTCTCCTTGGAGAGTAGCCCTGGCCAGAGACCTGCAGTTGCCTCTATGCTTAGATGCTGTCTGTGGAGGGTCTCGTGTTGGAAAAGGGAAAGAGAGGTGAAAGGGTTCCCCTGTGTGGAGTAGAGGAAGCCCTACATGGAGATAGCTCCAGTCTGTGCCCACAAATGAAGGCTCAAAGAAAAATAAGTCCTCAAATTCGGGCTTACCTCCTGGCTGACTTGGCAAAATATGTTATCAGTGGAGGATCTTGCCTACAAATTGTCTGGTTTCTTGGCATGTTGAACAAATAATTGGACAAAACATACAAACAAAGCAGCAGAAGACAAAAGCATAGGCTATTGAAGCACAGATCAGGAGCAGGCTTGAGCAAGCAGCTGGAGAGTACCAGTTGCAAACCTTCTGGAGTTTAAGTACCATGATGTTTCCTATTGGTTACACCCTAAATAAATGAAGACTTGGCCCACAGCCAATTGGAGGCTGAAGTGAAGGTTTGGTGCCTGATCAATTGGAGGCTGAAGTGAAGGCTCAGCCTGCAAATAATCAGAGGCTGAAGTTACATCCTACGCAAATGAAGACTTGGCCCACGACCAGTCAGAGGCTGAAGTGAAGGCTCCCTGTCTCCAGACCCTATTCTGCCTCAAAATGGGTCAAAACTCAATGGGTTGGAAAGAACATACTGTTGAAAAAAAGAGTCTCCCTCCTACCCTTGTTCCTTTCCTTGGAGGCAACCAGTGTTTATCAGATTTACATGACTCCTTCCCAGATACTTTGCACCAGTGTTTTAAATAGGTATCCTTGGGGGGCACATGTAGTGGACAGTCAACCTCTATACTTTTGTTTCTGGCGATAATTATTGATTTGATTTTAATATCTGTCACTGGAATGTTACTAAATTCATGCACTCCACATTATTTCTCTGGAGTCTTTTGGTTTTTGTTGATGAAAACGGTTAAAAAGCCTTTTTGTCACTAAATGATCTATGTAAATAGGGAAGTAATGATTTTAAACTGTAGTTTGGGTTTTTTTTATTTGTTTGGTTTTTGTTTTTGGAGAAAAGATGATCTGGCGTGAGGAGTTTGTCAGTGTCTAACAATTATTTCCTATATTTTTCCTGAAGGCGTTTGACTTTGGCAGATATTGAGAGAATAGCCCCATTGGCTGAAGGGGCCTTACCTTACAACCTGGCAGAACTTCAGAGACAGGTATGAGTAGTCTTATAAATATGATCACCTTCAAAAATGCTGAACTGGTAGCCTAAATAGAAACCGACAGCTTCTGAATGCCATAAAAATTAAAAAAAACTGTTTTCCAGAGAAAGACTTTATTTAGCTTAAAGATTACCTCTATAGAACTACTGTTACCCCCACTTTTATAGAATATATATATATATTTTTGAGATGGAGTCTGGCTCTGTCATCCAGGCTGGAGTACAATGGTGTGATCTTGCCTCACTGGAACCTCTGTCTTTGGGTTCAAGCAATTCTCCTGCCTCAGCTTCTCGAGTAGCTTGGATTACAGTTGTACACCACCATGCCTGGCTAATTTTTGTATTTTTAGTAGAGACAGGTTTTTACTATGTTGGCCAGGCTGGTCTCGAACTCCTGACCTCAGGTGATCCACCAGCCTTGGCCTCCCAAAGTGCTGGGATTACAGGTGTGAGTCACTGTGCCTAGCCTGTGGAATATTTTTATAACTAGATTTATGTTTGTGTTTTATCAAGATAAGAAAAATAAGAGTTCATACATACATGGTTTGACCTCCTTCCCCGTAAAATTAACTTTCAGAAAGAAAACCTTGACTATTATTACATTTTTGATAAATTTAGCTTTGGTTTTTATAAATGTTAAGAATGCTTAAAACAATAACTTCTGAGTCCTGTAAAATTAGTACAGTCCCATTTCTGATTTTACAAATACTATCTTGGTAAGACAAAAAAAAAAAACAAAAAAAACTCCATGAAATTATTTTGAAAAGTGGAATAGAACAGTTTTTAACAAATCTTGTTTTAAGCCGAAACCTCTGCTTCTATAGCACTTGAAGGAAATTTCAGTGGTAGCAGAGGGTCACACTGCTTTTGTGTGTGGGTTGGGAGGGCCAGTCATTGTCCTCCTGGTACTTTCCTGCTCCAATAGACGTGGAACCTGTGTCCCTCCTAATTCTCTAGGAGACTGTGACTAGGCTAGACGACATGGGGAAGGCATGTGGGGAGGGGAAACGAAGACAGGATACAGAGAGAGAGAGAGAGAGAGAGAGAGAGAGAGAGAAAGAGCTTCTAAATGTGCATGCTGTGGAAATAGGCCATGTCTGCTCTTTCTTCATTGCTGGCATATTGGTGAGTAGCCAGGGTTGGGCTACTGTTATTGTTCACCTTCACCAGATGTGTTAGTGAAACATCAAGGTATGTAAGTGTAGTTCACTTTGGGAAGATTTGGTAGGAAATCTTTCTTTTACTTGAGCTCCATGGAATGATGATTCTGCCTATGAAACGAATTAGAATTTTCAGTTCTACTTTACATAATGAACAAGAACATTTTGTAGTCAGGTTGAAGTAAATTGAAAATGGAAAAGAAACACTATTATATCTATGTTTTGTGTTAATACCTTAATTGTTTGCTTGGTGTGTAATGAAGCTTCCTATAGATTAAAACGTATTATAGCTCATTGCATTTTAGTTTCTTTTGTACCAGAAAAACTCTTTTATCTGCTGCCATCAAAGTTTATTTCTAGGCTGGGCACAGTGGCTCATACCTGTAATCCCAGCAATTTGGGAGTCTGAGGTGGGCAGATTGCTTGAGCCCAGAAGTCCCAGCCCAGCCTGGGAAACATGGCAAAACCCTGTATCTACAAAAAAAAAAAAATACAGAGTTAGCCAGGTGTGATGGCATGTGCCTTTAGTCCTAGCTACTTACGAGGCTGAAGAGGGAGACTCACCTGAGTCCAGGAAGTTGAGGTTGCAGTGAGCCGTGATTGTGCTACTGCTCTCCAGCCTGGGCAACAGAGTAAGATCCTGTCTTAAAAAGAAAAAAGTTTATTTCCATTAGAAGGTTTCAGATCTTTTAAAAAATAGATGGATTTATTTCAGTTCAGTGATTTTTTTTAAACTAAAATTTTATAAAATTACAGCATTTAGTAAAAGGAAAGAATGTGAAAATTTTTTTATAAAATTTAAGAATGAGACATTTAAATAACTCTTCTGAATTTAATCTTATTTTTTGTAATACATACATTAGTGAAAATTTGCTCTTGACTTTTGAAAAATTACATTTCAAAAGAAGATTATTTTGCAGTGTTACACGTGTCTATTGATATATCTCTCCCTGGTAGTATCCTTAATATTTGTAATTAGGGAATATTTTATTTAGCTTATTAAAAATATTGTAAACTGAATTTTAAAATCTCAACTCATTTCCTCCTCTTCAGTTTTTCTACTGCTTACTTTTCTATTCACCCACCTCTCTTGCCCCTAGCAATTTTCCTAGAGGACATATCTGAAGAGTGTTTTGCAATCTTTGGCACCCTGAGTCTGCGTTCTTCACATTTCTTCATCCTTAGGAAAGTGATGTAATTTTGTTACTGCTGTGAATTCTTTTTAAGACAGATTCAAGATGATTTGCCTATCTTCAGTGGCAGTGCTGATGCTTTTATGCTGGGATGGGTGCCCTCAAGGATCTTGTCAGATATTTAGAAATGGGCAGTGATTAAAAAAAAAAACCACCATTTTCTTCTTCTGTGGATCTCTGATTGGTATCCAGAATGATGGTGGTGGAGTGCTTTCTCTGCCTTTCCTTAACCAGTGAGATGGTACAGGGATCTAGAATTTCTAGAGAGCTGGTAGAGGTCTTAGGTATTTTTACATTGCCCCAAAAGGAAGAATCTCAGGACTTTTTTTTTTTTTTTTTTTGAGATAGGGTCTCACTCTGTCACCCAGGCTGGAGTGCAGTGGCATGATCACTGTTCACTGCAGCTCTGACCTTCCTAGCTCAAGTGATCCTCCCACCTCAGCCTCCTGAATAGCTGGGACTACAGGCATATACCACCATGTCCAGCTAATTTTATTTTTTTGAGACAGGGTCTCGCTCTGTTGCCAGGCTGAAGTGCAGTGGCACAATCTTAGCTCATTGCACCCTCGGCCTCCTGGGTTCAAGCAATTCTTCTGCCTCAGCCTCCCCAGCAGCTGGGTTTACAGGCACACCACCACGCCCAGCTAATTTTTGTATTGTTAGTAGAGATGGGGTTTCACCATGTTGGCCAGGATGCTCTTGATCTCTTGACTTCCTGATCCTCCCACCTCGGCCTCCCAAAGTGCTGGAATTACAGGCATGAGCCACCACATCTGGCCTTTTTTTTTTTAGAGACAGGGTTTTGCCATGTTTCCCAGGCTGGTCTCAAACTCCTAGTCTCATGTGAATCCGGTGGCCTTGGCCTCCCAAAGTGCTGGGATTATAGTGTGCATGAGCCAATGCACTTAGCTAAAATTTTTAATGTTTCTTCTCACATAGGAGATAGTTTTTCTACAGAGAATTAGGTACAGTGAAATAAAAATTAAGGTCTTAAATGTATATTTTTCTGTACATTATTATAGGAACAGAATCTGAGAAAATAGAGCTCAACAGAAATAATAAGTAATTATTAGAATTTTATAGAAACAGATTTATGAAGGTTATTAGATTAATGTCCACTAACGGCCATTGTGAAATCTGACCTTTACTGTACTTGAGATCTGATACAAGTTTATTTGGGCCTCAGTCTTCCCTTTAGTAAAGTGAGTATCTTCATGTATTTCTGGGAATCCTTTAAGCTCCTGCGTTCTGTAAAATGGTATGCATTAATGAATTTTATTATCAGAATTCTAAATTTATCCTCCTTTTTCCTTTGTAACATTTAAAATTTTGTAAGGAATACAGGCTGGACTCAAGTAGAATAATATAAAAATACACTTAAGTCCTTACAGCAACCAAAGTAATGGAATAAACTTTCTTCAGTTTTTAGCCTTGAAAAAATGTTCTTCAGTTAACATATTTCAGGTTTATGAGGCATTCTAAGGCAGCCATATAGACTGTAATCCTAGTGACTCAGTTTTTAACATTCTTTAGTCCACAGAATTACAGTAGTGCTAACTATAACTATTCCCATGTTACTTCTGGAAGTTCTCTTGATTTGATTCTCTTGTAATGGTTCCTATATCGCCAAATTAGGTGTTTATAATTACTTACATTTATTATGCAGAGTGTTCCCCTATATGAATCTATTAGAAACCCAAATATCAAATAGGAAGAAGGATGTGTATTTTATTATCTCAACTTATGAAAGTTGTTATGAAAACACTTGTTCATGATGGAGAATCTGAGTCCAGAAATAGAAGGTATGAGGGAGACAGTAGTTAAGAGCTTGACCACTGATTGTGTAACATCCTCTTATTCTGTTTTCTCATTATTAAATAGGGAAGGTATGCTTGTGCCTGTAATCCCAGCACTTTGGGAGGCCAAGGCAGGCAGATTGTTTTGAGCTGAGGAGTTTGAGACCAGCCTGGGCAACATGATAAAATCCTGTCTCTACAAAAACATACAGCATAGTAGTATGCGCTGGTAGTCTTAGCTATTCAAGAGGCAAAGGTGGGAGGATTGCTTGAGCCCAGGAGTTCGAGGCTGCAGTCAGCTGTGATTGTACTACTGTACTCCAGCCTGAGTGACAGAGCAAGACCCTGTCTCAAGTAAATAAATAGGGATAGCAGTATTCATCTTTATAGGATTATTGTGAGAATTACACAAGTAATAATACACTTACATTAAGCCTGACACCTGCTAAGCATTCAATAAATGTTAACTGCTACTATTGTGCTTATTACTGTTATTGACTATGAGAAGCCTATGGGAGCAAACTCCAAGATGGGCTCAAACATATATGTGACACACTGCTTAATCTACCCTCATCTACTTCCATTAGGTAGAAGGGGATAGGAAGTGAGGAAAAAGTATTTATATGTCTTCGTATTTTTTTAAGTGCCTGAAATGTTTTAATTTTTTTGTGCTGGCTGAAATTCCACCAGCCCTATTTTTTAAATTTTTAATTAATGATGGATATTCAACTAGAAAAAAAATCACTACCCCATGCCATACACAAAAATCAGTTCCTGTTAAAATGTTCTAAATGTGAAAGATTAAAGAGGATAACATGAGAGATTCTATTTATGATCCGGAGATAA